AAATAAAATTACAAAAAAAAAAGAGAATGACTAGAACAATTCAAAAAATTATAAATTGCATCTATTTGCCAGAATATTTTATTCATAGTTTTACTATTTACATTTGTATTTTATAATCAATATCCTTCACATTAAAAAACTGTATGTGATGCTGGGCCTGGTGGCGCATGCCTGTAATCCCAGCACTCCAGGAGGCTGTGAGTTCAAGGTCACCTGGGCTACCCCAGTGAACTCAAGACCAGCCCACACTGCACAGTGAGACCCTGTCCCCAAAATATCCCCTCCCCTGGGGGGGGGAAAAAGTTTTATGCGCACTTCAGCCAAATTCCACCTTTTTGAACATAAATACTATGTTCAAAGAATCACCCTGAGGCATAATGCTAATTTCTGGCTATTCTTTAAGTGGCCTCAGAAACACTCTCATGTATACCTTCTTTTTTTTTCCTGATATGTCAAATGTTTAAAATTCTAAGCATGTAAAAAAGGAAAAAAAGAAAATTCTAAGCATGGGCCAGAAGTGGCTGTGCACGCCTACAATCCCAGCACTCAGGAGGCTGAGGCAGGAAAGACTGCTACAAGTTTGAGGCCCTCCTGGGCTACACAGCGAGATCAAGACCAGCCTGGACTGCATAGTGAGATCATGTCCCAAAAAATAAAACACAAAAACCCTAAAATTCTAAGCATAACATTTTAATTTCTCTGGAGTATAGGAACACCCAATGAAAAGTCAAAATATGAAATTACTAACAAAGCACCTACAATTTATTTACTTAGTGTGCTGGGGTTGAACTCAGGGCCTTGCCTAAGCGAGTGCTCCACACTGAGCTGGAACCCCAGCCCACACATATTTTTAAACTCACACTTTTTTTTAATTGTTGCTATAAAATTTACTGTAACTCTCAATTTACATTCTCTTCACTAAAAAGTTAGAGAAAATGCATGCACCCAAAATAGTTTCTAGAAGTACAAGCATCCGCGAGTGAGATCTGCGCTCACGGTAGATACTCACTGTGTGAGAACCGCTGAGTAATCGGGGTTCCAGGGTACGGGTAAGTGCGGCTCTCCCACTGAATGTTTCCTTCCTGAACAGCCTTCATGAAACCATGGTAACACTGATGGGCTACTCCT